AGAGAAGTTACACCCACTTCTTGACAACCTTGGCCCTGAAGTGACATATATCATGGCTCTCATAGTCCATGAATGAAAAGTAGTCACATGACCTCACCTAGATGGAGAAGGCTCTGGGAAATGTAGTCCCTGGCTGGGATGCCATTTTCTAGTGAAACATGACTCCTTATTTTGGAAAGGGAAGAAGCATGATTTTGTTGGATCATTTGGCCAACATGGCTCCACACCCATTCTGTACCCCACAGATATCGATGAATGCACTGAAATGTGCCCCATCAATTCAACATGCACCAACACTCCTGGGAGCTACTTTTGCACCTGCCACCCTGGCTTTGCACCAAGCAATGGACAGCTGAATTTCACAGACCAAGAAGTGGAATGTAGAGGTGAGCAGAGGGTTTGCTGGTTAGTCTAGAAAAGACATTTCTCTTTGCTCTTCTGGGTTTCTTGATATTCTCCAGTTCTTTGCAGATATTGATGAGTGCCTCCAAGATCCATCAACATGTGGTCCAAATTCTGTTTGCACCAATGTCCTGGGCTCCTACAACTGTGGCTGCATTGCAGGCTTTCGTCCCAATTCAGAAGGCTCCCAGAAAGATGGCAACTTCAGCTGCCAAAGTAATCATCTCTTTGTATATCTTGGCAATGGAATCTGTGTCTGGCTTTGGTTGGAAAATTCTCTCTCTACCCAACCTCTGGATCTTCCTCTTACTGTTACCTCATCCATATATTCTGTTTCTTTTTTTCTCCATTCATTTACTCTTTTGTTAATTTACTCTTTCGAATGATTTCTGGAGCACCTATTAATTAATTAGTTAGTTTAACAGACCCCAGCAGTAGGTGCTGAAGATTCGATCCTGGGTATAATGAGCATGATTCTTGTCTTTGTGTAGCTTACAATCTAGGCAAGGAGCCAGAAAGCATACACACAATTATTTAATCATAAGTATGAATGAAACAAACAAAAAATCTCAGTGTGCTCTGGAGTGACTAATAGGATATTGATTATGCTCCAAGCAAACAATATTTAAGCAGAAACTTGAAGGAGGACTAGGACTTCTCTAGAGGAAGAATGGAGATCATGCTGTTCTGGGTTATAGCAGATGCAAAGGTCCTGAGGCTCACACCAAATGAGGACAAGGGGAAGTGGCATTCGATATATCTGATGAAGCAGACAGGAGTCAGATTCTGCTGGGTCTTGGTGCCTTGTGAGGAATTTTGGAAGGGTTGGATGCAGTGACATAGCTATAAACAGCACTTTGGGAAGCTAAGGTGAGAGGATCACTTGAGGCCAGGAATTCAAGACCAGCCTAGGCAACAATGCAAGATCCTGTCTCTACAAAGAATAATGGTAAAAAATTAGCCAGGTATAGTAGCATATGCTTGTAGTCCTAGCTACTCAGGAGGCTGAGGTGGGAGGACTGCTTTAGCCTAGGGGATCGAGGCTGCAGTGAGCTATGATCATGCCACTGCACTTCAGCCTGGTGACAGAGTGAGACCCTGTCTTTAAAAAAAGAACTTCAGAGTCCTTCCCCGCCCCCCCCCAGGAACAATGGGGAACCATGAAAGGTTTAAAACCACTAAATTATGAATTATTTAATACATGAAAAATATGTGTAACTTATTGGAGGCAATGAAGTATAACAAGCAAATGAATAGATCTGATGTACTTCCCAATATAATCAAGATAATATCATCAATGCCATTGGTTCTCCTCTACGTTCCTTCTCCACTCTATCTCCTTGTATCCTCCTCAGAGAAACACTTAGAATTTGGTGTTTATTATTTCCATATTTAAAAGAATATTTTTCCCTGGTATGTACCCCTAAACAGTATCTGCCTAGTAGTGCTTGTTTTAAAGCTTTGTAAAAGTGTATCATGCTACCTGTGACTATAGATGTATGTCTTTTATATGTGTGACTTCTCTAATTTGTTTCACTCAATATCATGCCTCTTTGAATGTGAGCTGTGCAGGGGCATACTATTGAGTGAGACGTCACACATATAAAAGACATACATCTATAGTCATATTCATGATTGCCTCTAAGAGGTATGATATTGAATGAAATCGAGCAAATTAGAAAATTGCATGTTGTAGTTAACATGTAATTACACATTAGAAAAGTACGTTGTAGTCAACATGTCCTTTTTGTTATAGTGTGTCGTTGTGGTTTGTTCGTTTTCCCCCTTGTGCATTATGGCAATAGATGGATTTTAAGTGGGGGAGGGGAGGAGATGGAACCAGACTTGAATTTTCATCATATTTTGCTGAGGTTGAACTTTGGTTTGTTTGCTGTTGTTTTCTTCCTAGGGCTGCCCTTCAAATGTAAGGAAGATATGATACCCAATAATGAACAGGCCCAGCAATGCCAAGAGGGAACCACAATGAAACCTGAATATGCAAGTATTTTTTAAGTTCCTAGTTTTTGAGGTTTTCCTAGAAGCCATTTAGGTAGAATGTTGTTTTTGCAGTTCTAACAAAGGCAAAAGTAATAGTGGCCAAAACCAGACGGCCAGTTTATTTTTCTCCTCTGTAACCGTCTGAGTGTAAGCTATGCAGAGCACATACGATGGCTCCATTACATTCTGCCGGCATCAACACAAGACTCCCACTTTGTGGTTCAAGATGGCTGCTCCAGCTCCTGCCATCACATCTGCATTCCAGCTTGTGAGAAGGGGAGAGGAGGAAGTAAAAAGCACAATCCGTCTCTTTAAGTGTATGACCCAGTACCACTTCTGCTTGCACCTGATTGGGTAGAAATTAGTCACATGGTCACACTTAGCTGCAAGGGAAGCTGGGAAGAGAGGATGTATGCTTGTTTAAAACTTGAGGATTCTCTTAATAAACGAACAAGAGAATATATTGACTTTACCACCAGTGAAGGTGTTGGCACTGCAACTGAGTGATGGTGGTGCGGGGGTGTTACACAGCCAGCCACGCAAAAAGGAATTTGGATATCCCGACTGTCTAAGGAAGTCATTGCAATGAGTAAAGACTCCATGGCCTCTTTAGAAAGAAACTGATGTCGCTATTCTAAGTCTGAGCTTCTAAATTGTAGCTTTGGGATTCCCACATACCTTGGACCACTGTTTTTCTTTTTAAATTGTGGTGAGGTACACCACATTTTAACATAAAACTCAACACTTTAACTATTTTAAAGTGTACAATTCAGTGGCATTTGGTCCATTCACAATGCTATGCAATCATCACCTCGATCTAGTTCTAGATTTTTTTTTTTTTTTTTTTTTTTTTTTTTTGAGATGGAGTCTTGCTCTGTCACCCAGGCTGGAGTACAATGGTGTAATCTTGGCTTACTGCAACCTCTGCCTCCTGGGTTCAAGAAATTCTTCGTACCTGAATCTCCCGACTATCTGGGACTACAGGCACCCACTACCACACTTGGCTAATTTTTGTGTTTTGGGTAGAGATGGGGTTTCACCATTTTGGCCAGGTTGGTCTTGAACTCCTGACCTCAGGTGATCCACCTGCCTTAGCCTCCCAAAGTGCTGGGATTACAGGCGTGAGCCACCGTGCTCAGCCTAGTTCTAGAATATTTTTATCATTAAGCAGTCACTTCCCATTCTCTTCCACCACTAGCCCATGGTAAACACTGATCAGCTTTCTGTCTCCGAGGATTTATCTATTCTTGGCATTTCCTAGAAATGAAATCATGCAATAGTTGCTCCTTTATGTCTGCCTTCTTTCACTTAGCATGATATTTTCAAGATTCATTCATGCTGTAGTACATATCAGAGAACTCCATTCCTTTTCATGGCTGAATAATATTCCATATGGACCGCTGCTGGTTCATACATTTCCTCTTCTTTTAATATCACTAAGTAGTTTTGCTATTTGTTTATGTTTGCTTTTTTTATTCATGGAAGGAAAAGGTGATGTGATTCTAATTCTGATCAAACAATGAATTTTTATTTCCATGAGAATTCTAGAGACTCAGGAATTCAGGACCACCTCATAGGACAGGGCTTTATGGGCTAATTTGTAGATTACATGCTTGTGGGAATAGATCGATCCATGCTCACAAATGCCCCCCCCCCTTTTTTTTCTGGGGCACAGGTCTCGTTTTGTGCACTAATAAATGACATGTTCGACATTCTGGACAATGTGTGTGAAAATGAAAGGACTGTAGTTTCCATGAAGGTAATGATTGAGTCTTTTAAATTGTGTTTCGAGTTTCAAATATCCTGGGCACACTCTGGGTGCAGAAAGACATCTTTATGGCCAGGTGTGGTGGCTCACACAGGTAATCCCAGCACTTTGGAAGGTTGAGTTGGGTAGATCACTTGAGGTCAGGAGTTCAAGACCAGCCTAACCAACATGATAAAACCCTGTCTCTACTAAAAATATGAAAATTAGCCAGGCATGGTGGCAGGCTCCCATAGTACCAGCTACTCGGGAGGCCGAGGCAGGAGAATTTCTTGAACCTGGGACGTGGAGGTTTCGATGAGCTAAGATAGCACCACTGCACTCCAGCCTGGGTGACAGAGTGAGACTCCATCTCAAAAAAAGAAATCTCTTTATAATTAATGGATTGTGAATTAATATTTAATTTTTTATAGCTGTAAGATTTGAAAAATTAGCATACAGTAAAATTACCCTTTTCCTTGTATAGTTTGATGAATTTTCTCACCTGAATAGATTTGTGGAACTGCCACTATAATTAGGATGCAAAACAGTTTAATGATCTCCAAAAATTCCCTTTGGCTTCTCCCTTAGAGTCAGATACTCCCCCCACCACTAACTTCTGCATATCCCTACCTAGTCTCTGTCACTGGAGTTTTGTCTTTTGAAGAATGTTACATAAATGAAATCACATAGTGTACTCTCTTGAGACTGGCTTCTGTCACTCAGCATAATGCATTTGTGATGCCTGGATAGTGTGTACATATAGAGTGCCATTTCTTCCTCCTCTTCCTCCTTCTTTCTTTTCATTGTTAATGAGATTCAGGACATTCTCATTGGTATATAACCACCTCCATCCATCTTGGGAACTTTCTCATCTTTCCCCAAAAAACTCTGTTGCCCTGAAACACTCACTTCCCATCCCCCTCCCCAGGCCCTGGTTCCCACCATCCTACTTTCTGTCTCTGAGAATCTGATGACTCTAGGGACCTTCTAGGAGTGAGGTCATACAGGATTTGTCCTTTTGTATCGGAGTTCTGCCACTGAGCATGATGTCCTCCGGGTTCATCCACATTGTGGCATGGGTCAGTGCTTCATTCCTTTTTCATTACCCAATAATATTCCATTTTATGACTGTATCAACATTTGTTTATCCATTCATCTTTGAAAGACATTTGGGTTGCTTCCAGTATTTTAGAGATTATCAATAGAGCTGATATTTTTTAAATTTTTTTTTTTTTTTTTTTTTTTTTGAGCAGAGTTTCGCTCTTGCCCAGGCTGGAGTGCAATGGCCACGATTTCGGCTCACCACAACCTCTGCCTCTTAGGTTCAAGCGATACTCCTGCCTCAGCTTCCTGGGTAGCTGGGATTACAGGCATGTACCACCATGCCTGGCTAAGTTTTGTGTTTTTAGTAGAGACGGGGTTTCTCCATATTGGTCAGGCTGGTCTCGAACTTTCGACCTCAGGTGATCTGTCCGCCTCGACCTCCTGAAGTGCTGGGCTTATATGCGTGAACCATCATGCCTGTCCAATAGAGCTGTTATAAACAAACATCCATATAGAGTTTTGTGTGTGTATGAGCATAAGTTTTACTTCCTCCGGCATACATATCTAGGAGTTGCTAGGTTATTACAGTTGTAGATTTTTTTTTTTTTCTTTGAGTTGGAGTCTTGCTCTGTCACCCAGGCTGGAGTACAATGGTGTAATCTTGACTTACTGCAACCTCTGCCTCCTGGGTTCAAGAAATTCTTCCTACCCGAGTCTCCCGAGTATCTGGGACTACAGGCGCCCACTACCACACCTGGCTAATTTTTGTGTTTTTGGTAGAGATGGGGTTTTGCCATGTTGGCCAGGCTGCTCTTGAACTACCACCCTCGGGTGATCTGCCCGCCTCTGCCTCCCAAAGTGCTGGGATTACAGGCCTGAGCCACGGTGCCTGGCCAAAACCTAGATTTTTTTTAAGCTTTAAGTTGAACTCATTCATACTGTCATTTTCTTCATAAATCTGGTTATTTTGGTATGAAAATAAGAATTAAACTTTTGCTTGTAATTTTGTTAATTTAAATGAATATATTTATTCATAAAGTATACATTCATTCCTAGGGTTTTCAGATTAAATTTTGATAAATGGTTAACCCTATTTTAAAACTTAGTTCAATTTCCTCAAATGTTTTATGCTATGTTTATAAATATTCCAATTCCCCTTCCCCACTCTGCCCAGATTTGAAGTACCTAGTGAAGAGGATTTACAAATCTAACAGGCAAAGTCACTTGGGTCCTGAGTGACTCATAAATCTAATTAATCAAAATGATTCAGATTTTTTTTAGACATTCAATACAGTTTGTAAACAGCCACGTTCTCTTAAATTGTCCACATTAAAATAAGTCAAACTGCTTTCTGTAATAAAACCATGTGGTTAATTGGTTAGCTTCTCTATTGTGTCAAATTATTCCTTTTAACACCTTCTTTTTTTGAGACTGTCTTGCTCTGTTACCCAGGCTGGAGTGCAATGGCATGACCTCGGCTGACTGCAACCCTCCTGGGTTCAAGCATTTCTCCTGCCTCAGCTTTCCAAGTAGCTGTGATTACAGGTGCCTGCCACCACGACTGGCTAATATTTTATATTTTTAGTAGAGATGGGGTTTCACCATGTTGGTCAGGCTGGTCTTGAACTCCTGAACTCAGATGATTCACCCTCCTTGGCTTTCCAAAGTACTGGGATTACAGGCATGAGCCACCATGCCCAGTCCCAACTCTTCACATAACAGATGTTTCTAGATTATGCTAAATATGTCAAAACCTTCTAAATTTAACACAAATCCTGCTAAGGATTTTTAGTTTGCCTAAAACTTTCCAACTTTCCTGAGCATATAAAATAACTTTCCCAGCTAAGAAAAATAGATTTAACATATCAGAGGGGCAGGATTTGAAGAGATTTCATCTGTCATAGAATTGAGTACTGTGTTTCCTGGAGTTGGTTCTAGCTGAGATATTTCTGCTATGTCAGTGCGGAGGGGATCCCACACTCATGCCTTTCAGGGATTACAGAGCTCAGAGCATCCTGTTTCTCTTAGACAAATATCTCTCAAATGTCCCGCTTACCCCGTGTTTATTTATGTGTTTGTTTTTTGAGACGGAGCCTTGCTCTGTCTCCCAGGCTGGAGTGAAGTGGCATGTGCTTGGCTCACTGCAACCTCCTCCTCCCCGGTTCAAGTGATTCTCCTGCCTCAGCCTCCCAAGTAGCTGGGATTACAGGCACCTGCCACCATGCCTGGCTAATACTTTTTGTATTTTTAGTAGAGATGGGGTTTCACTCTTTTAGCCAGGCTGGTCTCAAACTCCTGACCTTGTGATTTGCCCACCTGGGCCTCCCAAGGTGCTGGGATTACATGCGTGAGCCACCGCACCCGGCCTCAAGTTTTATTTCTGTTGGATCTTCTTGAATCAGGAAAAGGAGCCTGAGTTGATGCCCCTTTTAATTCTCCTTTGGGTTGACTCGCAGCCTAATGACAAAAAGGACAGCTGTTACTTCATTAATGAGAGAGAGAAGAGAGAATGAGCAAACACGTCTTTCCTTGCAGAGTATGGCTGAGAGCTTTGTTCCTGTGCTTGAACAAATGTCCACATGGACAAACTTCACCAAGACAGAGACATCCTCCCTGGCCACAGTCTTCCTGGAGAGTGTGGAGAGCACAGCACTGGCAGCTTTTTTGAGACCCTCAGAGAATGCCACTCAGACTGTCCAGACGGAATACTTAGGTAGAAGATACCCTTTGTTGCAAGGTTACACCTCGGTGATGATTTTGAGAGTTGACTATGGCAATGGGATTTTCTGTGGGTTTTCCCACCCATTCTTTCCTCAACTGTTTAAAAACCTTGAACTCGGGACGGCGGCGGGTGGGGAGGTTGGGAAAGGATAACATGGTGAGAAATGCCAGATATAGGTGACAGGGGGATGGAGGCAGCAAACCACCTTGCCACGTATGTACCTATGCAACAATCCTGCATGATCTGCATATGTACCCCAGAACCTAAAGTACAATTTAAAAAAAAAAAGTAGAAATTTCAAAAAAAACTTGAACTCACAGCAAAGCAAGTCTAATCATATTAACAACATTTTCTATTCACTGAGCACTTAGCAAAGGCCAGGCACTGTGCTAAGACCATATCATTAATTTATTCTACAAATACTTGCCGATTGCTTGCTATGTGCAGAGCTAAGGTATGACAGTCATCGTCTGTGTTCAAGTACTTCCTGTTTGCCATGCTGAGCCCATGGTAGAATTGTACTTCCTGGCTACTGTACAGTTAGGTGGGATTTGGGGACTAGTTCAGGCCAATATATTGTGAAATAGAGTAGTTGCCAGTATGAGACTTTCCAGAACTTTCTTTCCCTCCGCCCATATGATTAGCAGTGCTTCCGATTACAGTGGCTCCATCTGCCTGGGTCCCAGAATAAAGATAACATAGAACATGACCTCAAGTCAATTTACAATAGACACAAAGCATTAATGAGATACAAACACTTGTTATTTTATTTTATTTTTTTTTGAGACGGAGTTTCCCTCTTGTTACCCAGGCTGGAGTGCAATGGCGCGATCTCAGCTCACCGCAACCTCCGCCTCCTGGGTTCAGGCAATTCTCCTGCCTCAACCTCCTCAGTAGCGGGGATTACAGGCACGCGCCACCATGCCCAGCTAATGTTTTTGTATTTTTAGTAGAGACGGGGTTTCACCATGTTGACCAGGATGGTCTCGATCTCTTGATCTCGTGATCCACCTGCCTCGGCCTCCCAAAGTGCTGGGATTACAGGCTTGAGCCACCGCGCCCGGCAACACTTGTTATTTTTTAATCCACTAAGACTTAAGGTTGTTTGTTACTGCTGCAAGACTGATCCTTTCCTGATGCATACGTACTTGATAGATGAGTACTTGGGAACAGTGGGTGCTGTAGATCTTTTACATTAGCACCCCACTCCTGGTAGTTGTTCCAGTATCATTCACATAAACCTAGGAAGTTCCAACCTAATGAATGCCCAGAAGCCCAAGAGGTGGAAATAGAGTGTTTGGTGGACTCCCATCGGTAGTGAGCAAAATTAGCCTCATGAATCTCACACTTTAGGAAGTTGAGTCTGATAACAAACAGACGTCTGGTATACCAAATAGAGGTAGTGCTATTGAGAAAAATACAGCAGGCTAGGGAGGTTAGAGAGGGTCGGGATTAGAGAGAGAGTTGCTATTTTATATAGTGGGATTAGGTTAAGTCTCATTGGGGCAGGGATGTCAGGGAGGAGGGCCATGTAAATATCTGGAGAAAGAGCAAGTGCAGGAATACCTGGAGAATTCAAGGAACAATGAGGTGGCCAGTGTGGCTGACGTGGCATTGAGGATGATGGGAGCAATAGGAGAAAGGAAGGGAGATGGAAATGTAGATAAATGTAGGGACTCGAGGTTTCTTTTTTCCTTTTTTTTTCTTCTGTTAGAGACAGGGTTTCACTCTGTCACCCAGGCTGGAGTGCAGTGGTATGAACATAGCTCACTGCAGCTTTGCACTCTCAGGCTCAAGCAATTCTCCTGCCTCAGCCTCCTGAGTAGCTGATACGATAGATGTGCACCACCATGCTTGGCTAGTTTTTTAAATTTTTGGTAGAAATGAGGTCTTGCTACGTTGTCCATGGTGATCTTGAACTCCTGAGCTCAAGCAATCCCCCTGCTTGGCTTCCCAAAGTATTAGGATTACAGGCCTGAACCACTGTACCCAGCCAAGATTTTATTTGAAGTAAGATAAAAAGGGCATTGGAAAATTTGGGAACAGGTACGGTATTCTCTGGCTTATATTTCACAAGGATACTTCTGGTTCTATTATCCATCTTATTTTCATGAAGAGCCAGTAGGATAGGTTATGCAATGCTTGCCATGATACAGATGAGAAATAAAAGGCCCAGAGATGTTAAGTCAATGGTCAAATGTAGGCAGCTAGTGTGTGGCAGAGCTGGACCTCCTAGTTCCCACCATCTGACAGCAAAACCGGAGCTCTTGTTTATTATGCTAGGCTTGCCCCAATCCTCTACTATTTCTTTTGGTTTTAGAAAACATGTAAGTTGGAGTAGAGAGATCATGACTGTTGCCTACTATCACTGTTGATTTTGACTCCATCTTTCCCTGATGCACCCTCTAGGATGTGAGAGCTCACTTCTAATGCTCCAGCTGGTTTCTCATTTGTTTAGTGTTATGGTCATTCATCATGGGATTCAAGATCTTTCCTATGAGGAATTGAACTTTCTCTTCTTTCCTTTGCTTGCCACAGTGGATGCGTACCTTTTTTGCACAGAAACCGAATTCAGGACCGACTTTCTGAGTGACCTCATACGAACTCCTCCTTTCTCTTTTCAGACATCGAGAGCAAAGTTATTGACAAACAATGCAGTGAAGAGAATGTGACTTTGAGTTTGGCAGCTAAAAGGGATAAGATGAAGATCGGGTGTTCCACAATTGAGGCATCTGAATCCAGAGGTACAGTTCCTCTCCTGAGAATACAGGTTATGGTGTATTTCATCAATTAACATTTGTTGGTCACCTTCAAGGCACCAAGACCAGTACCAGATGGTTGAGAACCAATGAGGGCTGAAATGGCGCACACTCTCAAAGAGTTTTCCATCTGCTAGGGAAGTCAGATATTAAACAACCTTATGATCCCGGAGCACTGAGACCTTCACTGGCCTATATGATATGTACTGGTCACATTCAGCTGTTGAGCACTTGAAATGTGATTAATCCAGGTTGAGAGGTACTGTAAACCTAAAATAAACACTGTATTTCAAAGGCTTAGTACAAAAAAAGAAGGATTCAAACATCTCACTCATCATTTTTTATATTTAAAAGAATTTTTTATATTTAAAATAATTTTAAAATAAAATTTAAATTTTTTTTTTTTTTTTGAAACGGGGTTTTCACTCATGTTACCCAGGCTGGAGTGCAATGGCGCGATCTCGGCTCACCGCAACCTCTGCTTCCTGGGTTCAGGCAATTCTCCTGCCTCAGCCTCCTGAGTAGCTGGGATTACAGGCACGTGCCACCATGCCCAGCTAATTTTTTGTATTTTTAGTAGAGATGGGGTTTCACCATGTTGACCAGGATGGTCTCGATCTCTTGACCTCGTGATCCACCCACCTCGGCCTCCCAAAGTGCTGGGATTACAGGCTTGAGCCACCGCTGGGATTACAGGCCATAAAATTTAAATTTAAAAATATTTTTTATTTTAAAATCATTTTTATATTTAAAATAATTTAAAAATTAAAAAATTTTAAATTTAAAAATATTTTTAAATTGTTTTAAAAATAACGTAAATTAATTTAAATTATATTTAAATATATTTTAAATCTAAAAATATATTTTCTCTCTGTGTATGTGTGTGTTTGTGTCTGTGTAGGGTTGTGTGCGTGCGTGTGTGTGCGTGTGTGTGTGTGTGTGTGTGTGTGTGTGTGTGTGTTAAGTCTTCCATAATAACAAGCAAACGATTTCCCCCCGTTTTTCATTTGGGGAAACCTGCAGGAACCACTGGCGTGGCTTTTGTCTCCTTTGTGGGTGTGGAGTCTGTTTTAGACAAGCGCTTCTTCCACAACCCCCAGACTCCCTTGGCCAACTCTGAGGTGAAGCTGAAGATGAATTCTCGAGTTGTTGGGGGCATCATGACTGGGGAGAAGAAAGATGGCTTCTCAGATCCAGTCATCTACACTCTGGAGAACATTCAGGTTTGTGAAGAGGTCGCTACTGAGATTCCCGTCTACCTGTGGGAACTCCTCATCTCTCAGTTGCCTTAACTGTCGTTTTTTTTACGGGAAGCTATTGAGGCGGTAAGCTTCCACAGTTTCTGGCAATTCAAGCCAATTAACAGAAGCCACCTCTAGTGGAATGACCTCTCCCACTGTTACCAAACAGAACTAGGCCCATTTGGTCCACTGAAGGACCGGGTTTTTGTAGAGAGAAAAGTTTATTGCAAGGCTGCCAAGTGAGGAGACAGGAGTCTGGCTCAAAGATGTCTCCCCAAGCTGGGGAACTGGGGCAGGTTTTATAGTCAGTGGGTAATGAGCTGTGATCTGATTGCATCTTGCAATGAAGTGATGGTGGGAGGTGTGATCTGATTGGATCCTGCCATGGGTGATGCTAAGGTTTGATCTGATTGGATCCCGGATCCTGCTATGTAGTGTTGCTCCTCCTCTTCCTCCTCCTCCTCTTCCTCCACCTCCTCCACCTCCTCGTTCTTCTGAGATGGAGTTTCACTCTTATTGCCCAGGCTGGAGTGCAATGGTGTAAACTCGATTTACTGCCATTTCTGCCTCTCTGGTTCAAGTGATTCTCCTGCCTCAGCCTCCTGAGTAGCTGGGACTACAGACACCCACCACCATGCCTGACTAATGTTTGTATTTTTAGTAGAGATGCGGTTTCACCCTGTTGGCCAGGCTGGTCTCGAACTCCTGACCTCAGGTGATCTGGCTGCCTCGGCCTCCCAAAGTGCTGGGATGACAGGCATGAGTTACCACACCCAGCCTCTGGTAAACATTCTTAAAGCATATTGCTGTTCTTAAACTGTTATTAAAAATATTTCTCTACTTACTTGGTTTTTATATGTTTTTCTTCCGACTGTACTATGATCTCTTTGGGGGAAGAATTTTATGTCTATTTTATTTACTAATGTCTCCCATAATCAGTACAGATCAAGGCATGCAATAGGTATTCAATAAAAACGCATTGAACAAGCCTGCGCACGGTGGCTCATGCCTGTAATCCCAACACTTTGGGAGGCCTAGGTGGGCGGATCACTTGAGGTCAGGAGTTCAAGACCAGCCTGGCCAACGTGGAGAAACCCTGTCTCTACTAAAAATACAAAAATTATCTGGGTGTGATGATGCATGCCTGTAATCCTGGAATTTTGGAAAGCTGAGGCAGGTGGATCACTTGATGTTAGGTGTTTAAGACTGGTCTGGCCAACATGGGGAAACCCCATCTCTACTAAATATACAAAAATTAGCCAAGCATGGTGGTAGGCACTTGTAACCCCAGCTACTCAGGAGGCTTAGGCAGAAGAATTGCTTGAACCTGGGAGGCAGAAGTTGTAGTAAGCGGAGACTGCACCGCGGCACTCCAGCCTGGGCAACAGAGCGAGACTGTTACACACACACACACAAACCCCACACGTTGAATGAATAAGTGAACACATGAATGACTTTGCAGAAAGCCTTATTATGGATTTGGTGAAAGGAGGAGTTTTCTTCTAGCAACAGGACCGTAAGCTGCCCCATCAGACTGGCCCTCGTTGCATAATGAAATATTTTTTGTCCCATTCCCTCAGAACATACCCTGTGTATTCTCGTTCCTAGTGATTCTTGAGGATGGTCACATTTAATCCATTTGAGGGGGATTCACAGATGACCTGGGCCTTTTTTTTTTTTTTTTCAGCCAAAGCAGAAGTTTGAGAGGCCCATCTGTGTTTCCTGGAGGACAGATGTGGAGGGTGGGAGATGGACACCCTCTGGCTGTGTGGTCCTGGAAGCTTCTGAGGTGCATACCATCTGCAGCTGCAACCACTTGGCAAATCTTGCCATTATCATGGCGTCTGGGGAGCTCACGGTCAGTAATGAGGATTTGTTCCCTGAGGCAGAATATCTGCCTTCAAATCCAATGTGAAAATACCGATTAAACATCTGTTGTGTGCCTTCCATCGGGTTGGGTGTTGACGGAGTCATGGGAACAGAAGGGGTAGGTGATATACCTTTACCTCTGCAGAATTTACAGTCTGATTGGGAAGTCATGAAACTCAAATATAAAATGAGGAATAATGACCCTAAATAGGGCCAGGCACTATAGCAATCACAGGTCTTACTTTTTTTTTTTTTTTTTTTTGAGACAGAGTCTCGCTCTGTTGCCCAGGCTGGAATGCAATGGCATGATCTTGGCTCACTGCAACTTCCACCTCCCAGGTTCAAGTGATTCTCCTGCCTCAGCCTCCTGAGTAGCTGGGATTATGGGCCCCTGCCACCACACCCAACTAATTTTTGTATTTTTAGTAGAGACAGAGTTTCACCAGGTTGACCAGGCTGGTCTCAAACTCCTGACCTCCGGTGATTCACCCACCTCGGCCTCCCGAAGTGCTGGGATTACAGGCGTGAGCCACCACATCTGGCCCTCATAGATCTTCCTTAATGAGCACCTACAGTGTGCTGGACTTTTTAAGTTAAGTGGTTTTAGACCCATTTCACAGGATGGGAGACCAAGGGGTCTGTGGCCTGTCTAGTAAGAATTCAGAGGTGTTTCCAAGAGCGCAGATGATAGATCAGGGGGAAATAGAATATGAAATAAGCCTTGGTGAATGAGTCGATTTGGCAGAGAGGAAGGACATCCTCATTAGTGTTGTAGAAAGTATCCTTTCCTATCATGATAGACCCAACGTTTAATGCCCTACCAGGAAGGCCTCATGTGGCATTTTGAGGACTACTTGGCTTAGGATTTAAGAGAACTGGATCCAGAGCAAAACTGACTTAGTTTCAAGTCCTGTCTCTACCACTTTCTAGCTTTCTTGGAAAAGTCACTTAACATTTCTGTGCTGAGCCCAGCTCTGTCATGTCAAAAATGAGAACAACAAAAAATAATGACAATAACTAACATTTATAGGGTTTGTTTCTGGCACAGTTGTACTTTAAATGTTTTCATTTAATCCTCCTAAAACAACTCTCTAAGGCAGTTACTATTAATATTTTCTTTTTAACAGATGGGGAAACTGAGGCATAGAGCAGTTAAGTGTCTTGTCCAAATTCACACAACTAGACAATGGTCAGTTTTCTTTTTCTTTCTTTCTTTCTTTCTTTCTTTCTTTCTTTCTTTCTTTCTTT